CATACTTTACTAGTGTTGTTTCCCCTATATACCTACCTACTGCTAGACTCAAAGTTATAACATAAGGTTGAGTTCTGTTCCAGACCTAAAGGGTGGTTGATGGTCAAAGTATCGGGTTCACCTAGTATCTTTCTGACCAATAAACCTACTATTTATTTTGTAATTTTGAATTTTGTTCTACATTTTCTGATAGTCTATCCAGGACCTTCTGATGTGATCCCTGTGAGAGCAGTTAGTGGTGGTAACTGGGGGCTCTCTAGTTCTTTTGGTCTCAGAGTCGGTGACTGATGTTCACATGTTCCACTGGACTCACTGAGTATAAGCATCTTCAATTTTCATCACTCTTCTTTCTTCCACACATGGAGAAACTAATAGTTCTGGCCTTACATGGCCACAGATGAGCTTTTTTAGATCCCAGCTGCTACTCACAAAAGTTGTCTTTGTGGACTATGTTATGTCAACTGATCATGATGTGACACTATGTCTTACTAATGCTTTTATCTACAGCACTTAGAAAAATACTTGGTACATTGGAGATGCTCTAAAAATATCGTCCAATAGACTAATGACTTAATCTTTCTGTTGGAACCACTGAGAAATAAACTTGAAATGGAAAACAAGGAAACTATGCAGTTTCCTAACTTTTCCTTCATTCCATACTTATAATACTTCAGCTTCTATTACAAGGAAATCACTTTTCATTTCAGAGGCTCTCCCTTTGGGGTTTATGCTAAATGTAAGACAGAAAATCAAGGTGGTATATAAAATACAGTAACTCCTGAAGACAAAGAGAAGGAATCTTGAAACAAGACTGGACACGGGATAAGTCCCAGTGAGGCTGAAAGAGAGCTGTCCGTGCTATCTTCCATGTGCACATACCTAGTGAAATTGTCTTATTTCAATGTATATTAAATAGCTGGCACTCTGGGAAGCTACCATCTAGAAGATGGGTTCTTACCCGGATGTCTTTAACCCCATGAAAGTGCTAGAAGTTAAGGATCTGTGATATATATATATAAATATATATTTTTTTTAATTAAATGTTTTTATTTTGCATTGAGTGAAAGTTTACAGGGCACATCATCAGCTTCACATTCAACCATTCATATAGCTTGTTTCATTACATTGATTATTATCCCCGCCACATATCATCAGTTTACAGTGTTTCTCTCTATCCTCTTTAGCTTTTTTTTTTTTTTTTTGGAGGGGGGGGGGGGACTTGGCTTATTGGAATTTACAGTCTCGGCTTTTAGGGAAGGTTTTTACATTTGTCTGTGGATATCCAGGGCTCATGTATGAGATTACTAACAAGCATTACTGAATAATCAGATGAGGGACAGTTTGCTATGTCTACTAGGTGGCTAGAGTCTGATCCTCAGAGCCTATGGTTTGGACGGTCAACAACGCTTGGGCCCACAGGGGCTTGGCCTCCTGACCGGGTCTGTGCTGTCTGCATCTGAGTCCTCCTTATTTATTGATTGTTTAAGGGACGCTGCCTGTCTTAGGTGGTCAGTGCGAATTCCTCAGTCTTACCAGTCATTGAGACTCATTGCAGCATGGCAATGTCTCTGTCCCAAGTAGCCGAGGTTCCACGTGATCCTTACCCGTCTCTGGCCACATGTCCAGCATAAACAGCCGCCATCCGAGGAAGGCAGGGAAGGAGGAGATCAGCTGGGGACCCCATGCGCCCGACGTTGCCGGCCCACCACCTGCTCTAAGGTGACCAAGCAGGATCACTATGCTGAGGTTCAATCCAGTTCTTAGGGGATCTTGTTCTCTAGCATGGGTAGCAAATGGGTAGCCACTCAGTGTTCACTTTGAGAATTACTTATATCATAAATTTGAGCATGTAGCTGATGAATATCCCCAGACAAGTGTATATTGTTCCACAACCTCCTAAAATGCTGTTGGATTAAGTTCCAATTAATTTCTGGGTTACTGAAAGATAACACAAATCTACTTATACCTTGGGTAACCTTAGCTGGGAGTGTAGTCTGGATATATTGGGTCTTATTTCCCTTAAGCGGTCTTCCTTTCTCTAAAGCATTTAGCCTGTTTTGTGAGCCTTTGTCCATTTACTCTCAGATCATATGTGTGATATATTTTGTAAAATATTATGTGAGATATTTTGTAGATAAGACTTTGTGTGGTAAGAATGCCTCACAGAGGACAGTGACCTGCCAAAAAGTTAAAAGAACATCTCATCTAAGCTTCTGGCAAAACATAGGATTGCACAATTATTTTAATCTATCCACATATAGTCAGCTAATCTTTGACAAAAGGTCAAAACACACTACATGGGAAAGTGATAGTCTCTTCAATAAACTGTGCAGTCAAAACTGGAAACCCATTCACAGAAGAATGAAACAAGACCATATCTCATACTATATACAAAAACAAACTAAATGTGGATTACAGATCTAAATGTAAAACCTAGAACTATCAGATCACCAATGAAAAAATAGGAACAAACTTAAGGGCTCTGATGCATGGCATAAATATACTATTAAGCATTAATAAAATAATTCACAAACAGCACTAGACAAAATAGATGACTGGGCCCTGATGTGGTGCTGTGGGTTAATGTGCTGGACTGGGAGGTCGGTTTGAACCAGAAAGTTGGTGGTTCAAGCTCACCAGCTGCTCCTCAGAAACCCTATATAGGGTTGCTATGAGTCAGAACTGACTCGACGGCACTTAATAACAACAACAAATGTACATTAAAGATTTTGCTAAAAGAGTAAAAAGGGAGCCCAAAGACTGGGAAAACTTTTTTTTGCAACATAGTGGTTACATAGTTTAGCATAGTGGTTACGAATGGGGCTGTGAACTGCAAGGTCAGCAGTTCGAAACTACCAGCCGTTCTGTGGGAGAAAGATGAGGCTTTCTGCTCCCGTAAAGATGTACAGCTTCGGAAACCCTGTACAGGGTCGCTATGAGTCGCAACCGACTCCACGGCATAGAACCACCACCATAACAACTCGACAAGAAAAAGACAATCCAATGAAAAATTGGGCACAAGAAATTAATAGACAATTCATCAAAGAAGATATTCAGGCAGTCAACAAATTTATGAAGAAATATTCACAATCAATAGCCATTGTTGTCAGGTGCCAGTGAGTCAGTTCCAACTCACAGTGACACTATGCACAACAGAACGAAACACTGCCTGGTCCTGCGCCAACTTCACAATCGTTGCTATGCTTAAGCCCATTGCTAATGCCACTGTGCCAAGACATTAGAGGGATGCAAATCATAACAACAATGAAGTATAATCTCACACCAGCATTAATAAAAAAGTTCAAAGAAACAGAAAACAATAAATGCTGGTGGGACTGTAAAATGAGGAAAACAGTGTGGCGCTTCCTCAGAAAGCTGAAAATATGACTCAGCAATCCCTCTACTTGGTATATATCCACAAGAAATAAGACCTAGAACAAGAGTAGATATACGCACACTGATGTGTTCAATGCAGCACTATTCACGATAGCAAAAAGATGGAGACAGTCATCAACAAAAGAGTACAGAAACAAACTTTGGTAAATAACACAATGGAATACTAAGCAACGTTAAAGAATAATGACGACTCTTCGAAGCACTTCATAGCATGGATGAACTTGGAGGATTATGCTGAGTGAAATTAGTCAATCACAAAAGGGCAAATATTATATGAGACCACTATTGTAAAAACTCAGTAAAAGGTTTTCATCGTAAAAGAAACATTCTTTGAAGGCTACCGGGGTGGAAGGGAAGGGAGAGTAAATCATTGGTTAGAGGACAGACACATTTAAATAGGGTTGATGGGGAGGACAATATACAAGTAGGAGGGCAATATATAAGATGGAGGTTAGCAAAAGATAAGTGAAGATACAGGAAGGTACGTATGGGCTAAAGGAATTAGAGGTAAACTGGGATATATGAATAACCTTGGAACAACAGTGTTCTGTGTATAGATCCATGGACGGACACGGGCTGCATGGGTATGGGAGAAAGAGTGGGATATATATATACACATACATACATATATAAATAGCCTACAAACATATGAGAGTTTGAACGAGGGTATTTGCACATTGGTAACCACAGGGAGGAAGCGGGACAAACAACTGTTGTTGCATGGAAAGGATTATAATCATAGCGATGAAACAAAGTATATGATTTGTTGAATGTAAAATGATGATCTTGCCTGTATACCTTCATTCAATTCACACAAAAAATTTAGAGAAAAAAAAAAATCTGAGTTGAAAATTTATGAACTCAGCAAGATGAAGTGAGTAATTTTGTAGTAACTAAATTAAAAAAACTCTGTAAATGAATACACTAAGTTCTTATTTGTTTGAGTGCCTTGTAATGTGATATATATGAGGGGACTTGAAAAAAGTTCATGGAAAACTCCACTATCTTTTAATTCCATTTGTCCATGAACTTACTGAACCCCCTTGTTTATATATAAATATGTATCTCCCAACCTCCCTCATGACTACTGATATCTCCCTGTCTCAAAGAGCCTAAATATGTTGATGACTCTTTACTAACCAAAATTCCTACAGAGACTAGAATTGCCTTTACAACACGGTGACAAGCATAATGCATGAAATAACAACAACAAATATATACATGTGCATAGAGTATACCAACAACTTTAAGAAAACGAAAATGTTTCTGGTGTAGTTCAAGTATCTGCAATTTTACTGCTTGCTAATATTCTAATTCAGTAATACACACACACACACACACACACACACACACACACACACACACACACATATATATATATATATATATATAAATAAACAAAATTACAGTATTCTAAGAAGAATGTTTGTATACATGTGCATGTAGTATACCAACAACTTCTTAACTCTAAGAAAACAAAAATGTTTCTGGTATATTTCAAGTATCAGCAATCTTACTGCTTGCTAATATTCTAATTCAGTAATTATATAAATATAACAAAATTATAGTATTCTAAGAAGAATGTTTATAAATTAAATTTTTACCTGGGATTGTTTTTTAATGTGTTTACTAAAAATTCATGTAGATCTATGCCAGTTGAATCAGTGTATTCTTGACTGGAATCTAAAGGAAAAAAAAAACCACAAAACACAAAAACCCTGTATAAACTTGCTTGAAAACAAATCTCTTTCTCATTTACATATGATGTCTATTTTCTATAAAACAAGATGCCCCATACTAGAAAAAATTTGATAAGGGAATTAATGATGAAATCAGAAGACCACGATTCTTATTCTCATAAAATGTACCCAAAAAAGTGGGTTTACAGAGCTGCACGCACATGCACATTGAACAAACAACTAATCTTTCACATGTGCCAGTTCAATATTCTGAATTCTTTATTTCTGAATTTAAGATACTTGAGTCTTTTAAAATACTCATTGTTTTAACAATCCTCTTGTTAAAAAAGCCTCAGGTGAAAATTTCCAAGTAACTTGACAATTAACCACATTTTAGCAAATTAAGACAGTTTTGTTGTTAAGTGCCATTGAGTTGGGTCCGACTCATAGCGACCCTATATAGGGGTTTCCGAGAAGCGGTTGGTGAGTTTGAAGCTCCAAGATTGAGGTTTAAACTGAATTTTGGTCTAATGCCTACAGCGCCACACCAGGACTCCAAGACAGTTTAGATATGATATGAATACAAAAGGGAGACAATAATTTGGAGGGAAACAGAAATTTTAGTTCTGAAAAGATTTATGTATTTAGATTTTTTTTTTAATACATTTAATTTGTTCCCATGAACTACAACATATTTATGTTGTTTATAGTATTGGATCACAGGATTTAAACAGTATTTTCTGTCAACCTACGATGCCAGGTGATGGTGAAGACTTTTGAAAAATTCTTTGATTCTGAAGCACACAGCAGCAGCTTTTCTTTACCCATAAGGAATTAAAGAGCAATGATACATTTAGCAAGGCGCCTGAGCGGCACAAGCGATTTGTAATTGGCTGTTAACGGAAACGTAGTGGCTTGAACCCACTAACAACAGCTCTGTGGAAGAAAAGGCCTGACCAACTGTTTCCATAGAAATTACAGCCAAAGGAAACTCAATGGACTGGTTCTTCTCAGTTAACACATGAGGTTGCAGGTCAGGATAACAATAAATATTTTTAATTGCATCAACTACTTTTAGTGATTATTGTTGTTAACTGTTGTTGAATTGGTTCCGACTCATAGCAACCTGTATCGGATTTCCAAGGATCCAGTGATGGGCTTTAACCACCGACCTTGCAGTTCAAACTGGTCTTGTAGTCTAGTACATTAACCCACAGTAACACACCAGAACATCGGTTTTAGTGATTACAGTAAATCAACATGAAACAGATTAACAAGGGATCAAGATTGCTATTATCATCGGTGACTCTGGCATGTGTTGCAGGCTTTATAACATTTTTTTGCTGAAGCACTTTACTGATATTCAGAACTGTGTTATGATATTTTATATAGATGACTACTTAAGGATCTACTCTGTACCACTTAAAATATAGATATACAAACACTGCACAGGATAGCTAAGAGTTGGAACCGACTCGAGGGCACTTAACAACAACAACAACGGGTAAAGAATGGAATTACTGGCAACGAAACGAAAACTTTCTTTTTGAAAAAAACAAACAAACAAAAAACAGAAATATATTACAAACCTCTTGATAACATTTTTCTGGGCAATTTATCACTGGCTTTTTCTTTTTCTGTTTCATCTTTTGAGGGCTTCTCTTTTTCAAATGATTGTGTTAACTGGATCTGAATTTTCTCCTGTTAAAAAGCAGAATCACATTATTCAATGAAAATATAAACTGATTCATCTAATATCACATGGTTATATTTCTGAGAAATACAAAACCGTACAGAGGAAAAAGGTAAAGAATTTTTATTTCATCTAGTTAATTTCTTCAAACTAGAAGACAATTAAAAAATATCTTACCACTCTTATCATATTCTTCCTAGAAAATGTTAAATCAATGTGCTTACTTGAACATATCAGTTGAAACATCCTTAGAATTCCTTTACAGGAAATGTTTTCTGTAATAGTTTAAATGTATCTATTTGTAAACCTCGGAAGGAACAGAACCAAGACGGCAACCTGTTTTTGTGATAAAGATTCCACAAGCCAAACAAAAGCAAGATACTTATCATCAATAAATAACCATGAGTATCGACTCAATTACTAAAAGAACACATTGATTATCTGTTATAATACCACATCCCTTCATTTCCTTGCCAGGTAAAATTACATTTAAAAATAATTCCACAACAAATACACACGACATTATAACCTATTTGAGATTTACATGCTACTGTTCCTCCTTCAGCTACTGCAGAGCTGTTTTAGAGAGGTTTCAAACAACATTATTTTCCTTCCAGATATACAATGTTTAATTATAAAGCAACCATAGTTCTATAGACTGTCAAGGAGAACGAATTCTAGATTTTATTTTAAAAGACAATGTCACTGAATATAATTTTATGTCCTCCAAAATTACTGAAAATTAATCCATAAATTGAAAAGGAAAAAAAAAAATCTATTTAGGCAAAGTTATAAAGGAAGTAAGAATATTATTCAGACCATTTCTACTACTGATAGATTAAAACATATGGTGTTCTCTACTGACTAAAAGAATCAATCTGACAATTACGTATCTTTTCTGGGTGGTGGTGGTGATAGGGGCAATAAATTAGATTCAAAGGGATATAAGTGGCAGAACTCTGAAAGTTGCAACCAACAGGATTTCTATTCAGAGTTTTTTCTACATCATTTGTTTCAAAATGATTTTTTGGCAAAATTTAAGATCAAATAATCTTTTTCTGCTGTAGGATTGCTGACTGCTACTTCCATGTTTTTTCAACACTGCCTTCAATTCCAGTTCAGTTCCAATTTGTGATCAGAATATAAGACAAATGCTATGCCATTACAATTTTTATTAGAATGTTGAACGTTTTGCATTAGGTCCTCCCTTGTCTGGCTTACCAAAGACACTGGCAATGTCATCAATTCACCAGTCAGTACACCATTTGTCTCATTATTATTCCATTTCTATTTTCCTCATTCTTTTAATAATTATAAAGCAAACACTTAAAAAGAAGTCCCAGAAATATTTTTCATGAGTAGAACACTTAGTTTTTGTGACTTATCGTTTGCATTCTTGTCGCTCAAGGACAATCTTATTGAACCCAGGGTGGGAGAGTATGTCTACATTATCTCTTCTTAGCTCTGGTAGCATAGCGGTTACGAATCGGGCTGCTGCTAACCTCAGTGTTGTCAGTTCGGAACTACTAGCTGTTTCAAGGGAGAAAAGATAAGGCTTTCTGCTCCCGTAAAGATTTGCAGCCTTGGGAACCCTGTACAGTGTCGCTATGAGTCGGAACCGACTTCAAGGCCCATATCCACCAGATCTTTACTATCAAGGCAGTTTAAATGACTATTTCATTTCTAAATTATCCTTCCATAAAGTCCTCAAATCTACACTTTCTCTCTTTTCCTATTAAAAATGGCAAACAAATAAAATTCCAGATATTAGTCTATGTTCCATGGGATTTCCAAGGCTGTAATCTTTATGGAGAAATGACCCGATGGCACTTAACAGCAACAGCAATCGTTATGGAAGCAAACTGCCACATCTTTTTCCCTCTGACCTTTTAGTTAGCAGCCAAATGCTTTAATCACAGTTACATCATGGTTCCTTATCATCTTACTGTTGTTGTTAAGTTCCTTTCAGTAGGTTCGTAAGGACTGTATAGGGTTTCCAAGAAGCAGCAGCTGGACTTGAGCCACCAACTTTGTGGGTAACGGTTCCGTGCTTTATCCTACATTGCCACAACAGGACTCTGTCATTGTATCAGTAGTGGTTGTGTGTCACTGAGTCTGTTCCGGCTCACAGTAATCCTGTGTATTTGTGAGGCTGTAAGTCTTTACAGTAGCAGAAAGCTTCATCATTCTCCCACAGAGAATCTGGTAGACTAGAGCTGCTAACCTTGTGGTTAGCAGTCCAACACACAACAAACTATGTCACCAGAACTCATTAGGAGGAACTGTATTTTAAGACTGTACTGGCTTTGTCTTCATTTGGAACTGAGGTCTTGTTTTCAGTAGAAAGCAAATGAGAACTATTTTCAATGCCTGAGTCCTTATACCAAAACTCTTGTGATTATAAATAACTGGAATGACAGGAACATCTCCACAGGAAGCTGGAAATCTTTTACTCTTCACTCTGTCACTGACATCGATTATTGAGGTCACTTTCTTCTCATAAGCTCTCATCAGACACAAGTGGCATTTATCTTTTAATTGTCTTTCACTCTTTTGAATAATGAATTTTATACCAGATTAATTCCTCAAAAATTACATTCTGAAACAAGCAAATTAGTTGGAAAGTGTCTCTACCCTCAAGGTTTAGATACAAGAACATTTCATGAGAAATCATTTATTTTCCTGTTCCTATTCTGGGGCCACTTAGTTAACTCAAGGCTTGAAAAAACTTTTCTACTAAGTAGGATGTGTTTTGTTCTGAGAAGTAAAAATGGGTTATTATTCAAAAATTTTTTTAAAAACCCAAGGGAAACTCTTTGAGAAAGAATTATGTGGAATAAATTAATTGTAGCACAATGAGTCTGTTAATTATCGAGATAACTATTGGACTGTAAACACAAAAATTATCTTTCATCTATAATGTAAATACTAATAATACACACCTTCAGATCCTGGTATCAAATAATTTGCTCCCAAATAAATTTTCACTAGCCACACCCACCCTTAACATATTTCAGAAAAAATTATACTGAATGAAATTAAAGATGAATTACAGTTTTTCTTAAAAAGGGATGTACTTCCCCTGCCTTAATAGTCTTATGAATGGCTGACTCATCTCATTTCCTCCACCTCCCTGGACTAAGTACTATTTTATGAGGCTAATCTCACCATCTGGTATAACATTTTTGGTCTGCAGATGCAAAGACAGGAAATTTCAAAAAACATGCTGAACTGCCTTACCATTGCCCCTTGATTAGGTATATTTATTATTCTGATATATAAAACAGATTAAAATTGCTATTTCAAAAACACAATTTTACTATGTTGTTGTTGTTGTTGTGAGGTGCCATCGAGTCGGAACCGACTCATAGCGACCCCATGCACAGCAGAGCGAAACAATGTTCGATCCTGGGCCAACCTCACCACCGCTGCCACCCCCGAGTCCATCAATGATGCCACCTGGCCGATCCATCTCGTTGGAGGTCTTCCTCTTTTTCTCTGACCCTCCACCCTACCCAGCATGACATCCTTCTCCAACGATTGTTTCCTCCGGACTACATGTCCAAAGTAGGAGAGACGAAGCTTAGCCATCCTGGCCTATATTTTACTATATTTTCTTAAAATCTTTCTTAAAGCCTATCATAACTCTTTAGTGTCATCAACAACGCAAGTCAAAAGACTAGCATTTGAAAATGTTTTCCAGGCAGTTGTTGTTGCTATCAAGTTGGATCTGATTCAAAGTGACCCAGTATAGGGTTCTTGAAGCTGTAAATCTTTGCAGGAAAAGAAAGCTTATTTTTCTCCCATGGAGTGGCTGGTGGGCTTGAACTGCTGACCTCGTGGTTCACAGTCCAGTGCTTAATAGTACTTAGTAAATTATTCCTAACTCTATTTCTGTTCTTTGCAGAAATAGAGATTATTTTACAGTTGAAATATCTCTATTTTTATATAATAAACATTGTTGTCGTTAAGTGCTGCCTAGTCAGTTCTGATCCATAGCGACCCTGTACAGGGTTTCCAAATAGCAGAACTCTCTCTCTCTCTCTATATATATATATATATAGCTATATAGCCAACATATACCTATATAGGTAAAAAAATTATAAAATATCACAAAGTTTTAATCTTATTATTCCTGATACTTGAACAAATTGAAAAGGAAATAGATATTTAACTAGTTTTCAATGATAACAAATAACCTATTTAAAAACCTTTCTCTACTTGTACTTTTGGAAATTACATTTTGTCTCATGTCATTGATTATAATCCCCAAAATGTAACATCACTTATCCAACTTTCTCCCTATGTTTTCTGTTTCTTTTCCCTTAACCAATCTAAACTTTGTCCTTGTGTAAATGTTGCCCTTTTGATCTCAAATGGGCAATTATTTTAAGGTATGCAATTTAATAAATGTCAGTTACACAATTACCAAATGTACTACTGACATTTATTAAGCCAAACCAAATCTCCTGCCTTAGAGTAGATTAGGACTCAGAGTGACCCTTCGGGACAGAGCAGAACTGGCCCATAGACTTTCCATGGCTCTCAATCTTTACAGAAGTTGACATCTTTCTTCTGTAGAGTGGCTGGTGAGTGAAAACCACTGACCTTTTGGTTAACAGCCCAAAGATTAATCAACTGTGCCACCAGGGTTCCTTTGACATTAACTGGGGGTAGGAGGGTATTGAGGTTGTACAACAAGTCACAGCCTCTTTTTTCCTTTACCCACCAGGAATCCTGGTGTTGCTAACCATAAGCTGACCATTAGGTTTATGGTTCAAACCCATCAGTTGCTCTTTGGAAACCCTATACAAGGTCACTATGAGTTGGAACTGATTCAAAGACACCTAACAACAAGTTTAATAAAATAAAATAAGCCACTAATATCTTGATAGGAGGGGCCAAGAACACATAACGCATAAATATTCAACTGTGGCATGCCATAAAGATCTAGCAATAGCTAAGACCAACAGAAAAATATGTATATAAAGTTACAGTATTGAAAAGAAGATGAAAGGCAAACTGAACTGTCAACTTGAGTTTCAAATGCTCTATGTTTGACACAACCACTATGCGAGAAACTTGTACAATTTAAAAATAAAAGAACAGATTTCATCACAACTACATACTCCGGAAGTATTATATTAACACAGCATAACTTTGCAATAATAATTTTTAATTCTCTTAAAGTCACATTCTCAGATAAGTATATGATCCCCCAAATTTTTCCAGAAGAGGAGTTATTGTGCTCGAAGCCTTAGACTGAAGCGATGAGGCTTTTCCAACTTTTCATCTGTATCTTGGGATGTCAAAAATCATCAAACCAGTTCTCATGAAGTAAAACAAAACAAAGTGCACATACACATAGGCCTCTGATTCAACCTAATGAAAAATATTTTTCAGGAACTATGTTATTCCACCATGTTTTGAAATAACTTAAAAAAAAAAGTTTTGTTTAATTTGCCTTTTTTCTTTATTTTTTACCTGGTTCTCCTGTGATATGTCTGCTGCAGGGAGTGGTGGAGACTCTTCACATACTGCAAGGCTCCGAACTAGCTTTAACTTTGAGCTTGACTAAAGAGAAGTATTTAAAATTAACACTACATTTCAGAAACCTAGGGCATAACCAAAAGCTTCCTAGAGAGTTCGTATTAAAGTAGATGAGATGTGCAAGCTAAATATATCACTAAACACCACTAAATTCCTTTGTTAAGAGGCAACACAAACGCTTGCAGTTTTGAAAATCTGAGCAATATCAAGAATGGGAATAATTCCAATTTCAAAACCCAAGGAATGGTGAGAAAGCTTTTTCTCTACAGATAATGACCATCAAAGATACAAAAGCAATGCACAAAAGCAACTATGCAAGACAAAAACCCCAAATAAAAGAAAATAAGCTTTCTTCCCCAAACAAAATATGACAAAACTAAACCGAATGTGCAGTGCTATGTGAAAACAAAGATTCAGCGAGCATGAAGGAAGGCCTTTGGCATGCCAGCACACCAAAATATTTACTATACCTTAGACCTTTTTCCTGTCTGTCCAAATGACTGCAATGGCCGCTGAATATACAAGAAAAATTTGTATTAAATTTTATATTGAAACAGAGAATTGTGTCTTAATTCATAAACCTAAATGACAGAGATATTAACTGTGCACAAAGTACCGCAAGATAAGAAATTCAAGTTGGTTTCAGTCTAAGGGAATTGATTCTTCCCAAATCACACTTGCAGAAAATTCTCTGAAATCCTTCTGTGAGTTGGTATTTTTCTTTTATGTTAACTAATGGCCACAATTCCAGTATTAATTGAGTCAAATGGAATTTTAATGGTAACTTCTTAGACTGTTGTTGTTTCTAAGTGCTGTTGAGTCGATTCTGACCCATAGCGACCCTGTATAGGGTTGCCATGGAGCAGCTGGTGAGCTTGAACCACCAACCTTGCAGTTCAAACGACTTTGCAGTCTGATGTATTAGCCCACAACGCCACAGATAGCAGCAAATTAAAATAATCCTTTTCAGTATTTTAAAACACATAACAGCATAGCCAATCTCAGAAAGATCGCTGACAAACAACTCAGGAATTTTAAGTAGCTGTGCTCAGAAAAGTCCCAAACTTAGTTAAAAAGAATTTGTCACATGCACACTGAGTCCACTGAGCCTTTTCAGCACTCTATGAAGTACACCACCAGTTTCTTAGTGTTGGAAGCTTATTCACCAGGTATTGAGTAAGGCAATGCAGCAGACATGAAGATAACAGGGCAGAGCTCCAATATGTATGTTAAGCATGGCTGACAGGTCATCAGTCAAATGACTGGGGAACCCACTGAGATGTACTAACTATGGTATGTGACACCAGGCTTTGGTTTGGGAAACCAGCTGAAAATTCTGTGAATCAGAGCCAGACGGGCTTTAATTACTCTTAACCTTCCTCCCATCTTCCTCAAACCTACCTCTCCAAACCCAAACAGGGTCCAAAGAGGGTCCAGGTGTCTACTGTTCATAATTACTAAAACCAGTGTGCCAATGTGGAATCAAATCTAATACAAAGTCATTAATATCTACGCTAGTACACTTTACATAAGGATGAAGAAAGCCACTACTTCATTCTGACAGCTCTCCAAAGTACTCCTGATAGAACCAAGAGTCAAGAGTTTATGATACCCAGTGTGACCAGGCCCCTAATTCCAGTCTAAAATTCATAAAGGATAAGAGGCATTGCATTCTTAGGATTTTGTCTATGGATTACTCAAACTACAAAGAGAAAAAAAAAGGAAATAAGAAAAAAGTAAAGCCACATGATTTTCCATTTCTTATAGAGAAGAAAATGGTGTGCACAAATACTGCCTAAGAACTCAGGTATGTTAGTACTGCCTTCTCTATGTACTCGCTCTAATTTGTTCACAAGGGTCTCTAACTGTCTATAAGTAAATCACATCTCAAAACAGAAATACAGAAGTGAAACTACCATCGAGTCAGGGCTCACAGGGAAAATTGGTGGAAAGCAGCAACACATGAGTACTAGAAAACAGCATAGGACTCAGTAAGGCCTAGAAGAGCAAAAGGGGAAGGAACCTGTGACCTCCTCCTTGATTTACTGTCACCTTCTGCTTAAATTAAATGTCTTGCAAGTCTATTAACAATGGTACAAAATTTTTTCTAGGAAATTTTTTTTAAAGTGATGATTAATTGACAAAGTAAAGACTGTAAGTTTGCAAAAGGGTTGGCTTTAAATTTCTGGTTTTGCTTCTTACTAGCTGGTAGCCACCTTGGCCACATTAATTCAGTGTGTTCTTACCTGTATAAAAGTTTATACTATTTATACTAATTTACAGGTTCTTCAAAAGACTCAATAAACAAGTAGATTTAAAAAAACAATAATAATCAAATACTACTTATAGCAGGCAAAATTCTAAGATGGTCTCACAAGACTGCTAGTTCCTTTTTATGTAATCAAACACTAATCTCAGCAATTCTGTGAAGAGTGTTTGCAACTGTAAGTAAAATCCCAAAGCAGTGGATACTAAAATACAGAGATGATCTGGGTGGGTCTGACCTAACAGGTGAGCTCTTTAAAAGCATTTTCCCCTGGCTGGGAGAAAGAGCACATGAAAAGGAATGTGTGTATATTCTAGGAGTAGAGAATGGCCCCTGGAGGAAGTCAACAAAAAGACATGGGCCTCCCACCTATCACTACAAGGAACTGAATTTTGCCAACCAGTAGGAGAGTTGAAGCAGATTCTTCCCCAAAGTTACTAGAGTTTGGCTTTGTGAAGCCCTAAGCAAAGACGACTCAGCTTCAAGCTGCAGAACTGCTGACACACTGAACGGTGAGATGACAAATGGCTATTGTTTTAAGCCCCTCCATTTTCCATAATTTGATACGCAGCAATAGAAAACCAATATGCTGTGACATAAGTGGCCTATAAAGTACAAAAGTGGCATAGTTCAAGAATTTATTTCATTTCAAACAGCAAAGAACTGAAATTACATAATGTAATTACAGAAAACCTGCATATACATACACAACAACAAAGCAGAAAAACTAAGTTCCTTTTATTAAAATAAGGAAACTTTGTTTCATATGTTTGACAGCTAGATTTGGCTTTAAATAGGAATTCTCAAAATTTCACATCATTATTTTCAAGATTTCATTATATAAAGCGGTTTCCCTTGAGGTTGTATATCTTTACAAGAGCAGAAAGCCTCATCTTTCTCACCTGGACTGGCTTTCTCACCTGGTAGTTTTGAACCACTGATGCTTGACGTTAGCAACCCAACTCGTAATCAAAAGGCTACCAGAACTCCTTAAAACTGAGGTATAGGACAATAAAACAAACAAAAACCCCTGAGATTTTAATTATGAATGGTAAAGATTTTAAATTACAAGAAAATGTACACTGATTTTCACTATACTGTCCTATAGATCAACTTCAAGGTCAAAGAAAAACAAAACAAAGTCAACTTAAAACCAAGAGGTGATATATAGGTTTTGTTTTCCAGTAATTCTTTAATTATGTCTCTTTTAAGCTCATAATTTCAGTAATTTTCTTTGCATCTCTTTGTAGTGCCAAGGATACGTTAGATTTGTTTAAGGTTTCTTAAATGTAAAAGGAAAAAAGGAAAGAACTAAAGTAATGAAATCATAGGTACTTCTAAGAAAGAACAGAAATATTTAAGAGCTATACTGTGTGTTAGTAAAAAAAAGCAACCTGCCAGCCTAATAATCTCTCATTTAAAAAGAAATCTGACTTATTTTAAAAGGGGGATCATTTTTCATCTGTAATTCTTAATTGTATGACCAGAATAAAGTATAATAATTGAAGTCTTTCAATTAAGGCTTTTAATATGCCTTGAAAAGCCTACTAGGTAATAGGAAAGATGAATGGTAATAATTTTGGAGAAGATGATAAACTTGTTAGATTTCTAGCTAAAGGTCAGAAACAGTAGAAACAACAAAGGCCAGACTGCTAATTTCCATCAAAATAACAGAATACAGCAAACTTTTCTGAGGTAAGAGTTGAAATTTAAAAATCAGTCAGCCAACACATCAGTAAGTGGTTTGTACCATTTCACCCTTTGGACTGTAGACACTCGGTTTAAAAATCCAAAGGCTAAAGGAATAGTCCCTGGAGAAAGTAATACATCATTGTTAAGAGTAAATGACAATAAAGGTTCTCCCCATTCTACTGATGACATGTATGAAAATGATCTAAGAAAGTAAAACTGAATGTAAACACATTTTTAAATCCAGAGTTATGGTTAATAACTTCTTTAAATACATCATAGCAAAGTAATGTAAAAGGCAAGTTCAATAGAGAATCAAATCCTAGAATTAATTCTAAAAAGTGTTCTACAGAAATATTAATAAAAGACACAAAAACCCCATCTTACATACAAGAACCTAATAAAAATAATTATATTGTTTTGAAACATATAGTAACATGTTAAAAAAGTTTTGATATATTTTACTCTTAGAAAAATCTATTTTGCATGATAATAAAGGAATAAATATGAGAAGTCATAAAGCTATGCTACAGATATTAATTAGTAACAACTATGATGATTGAAGTTCTGGCGTGGCCCTGTAGGATAAGCACTGGATCATAAGGTCAGTCTGAACTTCAAGGTTGGAGGTTCAAACTCACCAGCCATCCTTGGAAAGCCTATACACGGTCACCAATGTGTTGGAATCAACTTGATGGTACTTAACAATAATAACTAACAAAGATGATGATTATACAAGGGTAAATCAAAACGTACTGTTAGTAGAGTTCCAGTTCATACACGCATGAGTTTATTCCAAAGAAAACATGTTTAAATATGAATCAGATCACTGCATAGTTGCAGACACGATCTCTCAATAGTATACTTGTCTTAGTCTCCAATTACAGAAAATAAGGTCCAATTACAACAGTGGCTTCCAGGGGATCTGATGGGCCAGTTAAATAAGGGTGGCTTAGATATGACATCTGCTTTTTGGAATTCCCAAGGGGTAATAGTAATAGATTTTCTTAAAGGACACAGCATGATCACAGGGGCTTACTATGAAGAAGTTTTATGAAAACTAAAAACTGCATTGCTAAGACAATGCCAGGAAAGTTGTGCTGAGAAATTGTCTTCCGTCACCTGCACCAGCTCATTCTTCAAGAATAGCACGTGCTGCCTTATGAGTTTCATTGTGAAAGTTTACCCGATCCAGTTTATAGCCCACATATGGCCCCTTCAAACTTTTTTGTTTCCCAAACTCAAGAGGAGTACTGGTGTGGCACTGTAGGATAAGCATTGGGCTGCTAACCACAAGACTGGCGGTTCACACTCACGAGCCACTCCTTGGAAACCCTCTGCAGGGTCACTATGATTTGGAATTGACTCCATGGCACTTAACAACAACAACAAAAATCGAAGAACACTGAAAAGGAAAAGGATTTCAGTCTCTCAAAGATACACAAACTACCATTTTGATGTCGTGCACTCAGGCACAAAGGACTCCGGGTTAACATGGCCCAACCTATTTAATAAGTCATTTGGCAGAGGGCATTGTTTGGACTACTCTGAAATTTC